CGCGAAACGTGCTACATTCTCGACGGTGCTGCCGGCAAAGAACGGTTCCCTCTGGACGGCACAGCGCACCAAAAAAAGACTGCGAGGAAGACTGAGGAGATCAATGACAGCTATTTATGACATTAGATGCAGATTTTGGACCATTTTGAGGCGGCATATACCTTTTAATGGCTCGAGCAAAGCTGCGGTGAGAGGACCCCTGAACGTGTCCCCTTCGGATCCCCTCTCCCATTCACTGGACAAAAACCAATCCTTGGAGCTTGGAACGAAAAAATCGCTGAAATGTGGTCCTCATCACACGTTCCTGCAGTGGATTTCTGTGCTTTGACGGGAACCACCAAAGCCTCGCCCCATGGGTGCCATAGCTGCACCCCTCTGACATGCTCCTAGCAGGCTCTTTTCGGAAAGCAGCTCTTTCAAAGGAGTCTTCAACGTGCCCTTCCTTTTTGCGACACTTTTCGCAGCACCGAAGCTCCGACGGCGGGGGGGGGGGGGGGCTGCAGCTTGGTTACAGGGTCTACTGGGTAGCGTGGGCACGTCGCCAAGGAGCCCAAGACCCCTCGATTCCTCGATTTAGGGAAAGCGCCTTTCACTACAATAGGAATCCGATTTTGAGTTCAGGTTTCTTGCCTAATGAAGGGATCTTGTGCCAAAGAACCCCGATTCGCTCCAGGCAGCTCATCCTGTTGGACGGCTACTGAAATGCCTGTGCAAGCAGGGGGTGGGCAGAATACACCAACCTACCCCTCCATCCAAAGCCCTCCATCCACAAGCCCCCCCCTCCATCCACAAGCACCCCCCTCCATCCCAAAGCCGCCCCCCCTCCACTCACAAGCCCCCCCCCCCCAAGCCCCATCCAAACCCCCCCCCTCCCCCCCCCCAAGCCCCATCCAAACAAACACGCCCCTCCATCCAAAGCCCCCCCCCCAAGCCCCCCCCTCCCTTCCAAATTGAAAACTCGCCATCGCGAGATATGCCACCCTCTCACATCCCACAGGGTGGGTTGGGGCGCCATCTCTGCATGGAATCTACTGCCGCGGCGCGGCGAGAAGCCCTAAACCCTAAACCCCAAAAACCCTAAACCCTAAGCCCCCTTTAGATCTGTCCAGGGGTTAGAGTCCACCCCCTTCAGGGCTGGAGAGCTTTAGGGCTTCTACGATTTATACGGCATTTAGATGTCTGAAGGGTTTAGGGCTTAGCTTTGGGGTTCAGGGTGCCGGGAGCTTTCACGGCTTTTATCGAAAGCTCGCAGGCTTGCTCGCGCTGGTGAGACGAGAGGTTTTTGGCAAGCTGTCGGGCTTCGGGCGACCTCGAATGTGGAGTTGAATGGGTACTAGAATAATGGAAATTGGAATGGCCGTTGCTGATGGAACCGGGGTTCAGGTGAGAGACCCTCACATCTCGGAGGACACAGGATCTGCCATGTCCTCGCAACAAGTCAGGCTTGGGCTTCAACCGCAAAGCAGACACTCATTTTAGACCCGCACACTCTTCAGCGTGACGACAGGGACAAGTACAAACAATTCTGGGCAGATTGCTCGGTTGGCGCTCTAAGCCTTGCCTGTCTGAAAAACTCCGAAGAATTGCATGAGAAGCGGCCCGGTTTCCAAGCTGCGCTAGCAGCAGCATTCCCAATGCGCTACAAACTGACGCAATGTTCACGCCATGACGACAACAACATCATCAACAATAGCGACAACACCCGTGCGCACAGCAAAGGGAAAGGAACCCGTGAATGCACCAAGAACAGCAGCTTCTGTATAACCCCTCACCCTCTAAACCTAAGCCCTTTCCCTCACCCTTAAACCTGCATCTCTACACCTTCAACCCTCATCCACGTAAAACTTAAAGCCGAAAGCCTCATCCCGAAGCCTTACAGCCTTCTCAACCCAATCCCGAAACCCTAAACCCTCCGCCCAGCAGCTGGTACCAAGCCAGTCCTCCTCAGCACGAGCCGCAGGCCCGCAACATCCCTGGGCTCCCAGGGATCCCCCTACCTAGGGTTAAGGTTTGGGGTTTTAGGTATGCAGTATGCGGGGGTTCACCCCGCACAGTCTTTGCTGCACTCCCCCTCCCCCCGCCCCCCCGCCCCCCCCGGCCCCCCACAAAAGCGACAGAACACCACCCGCGTTGCGTTTTGGGTCTTGAGTTTAAGCTGGCTCCCGAAGCTTCCAGCTGGAGCAGGCAAGGGACCACTACATCCCGAACTCACACATCTCCTCGGACTCTCCATAATCGTTGAAACCTTCCTCGTGATTTGGCTCGCGCGGCGTCTCCTCGTTCCCGGGCTCTGGGCAGATGTGCGACTGGGCTGCGATTGCCGCTGGGCCAACAGAATTGGGTTGCGCCAGCCTGGGCTCTTGTTAAGGCACTTAAAGTAACTTAGCATGATCCGCCGACCCCGCTGTGGGGCCGAGCGCGGAAGAAACACTTGCAGGTGAAGCGTCAAGAAATGCCAAGTCACAAAAATGGTCCGTGCCTAATGTGCCAGGCAGTGCCAGGCAGGGACCCCACCTGACCCCCTATCCCAAACCCTCCCCGACCCCCCACCCCCAACCCCATCTGCGAACAATTTGGCTGGTGCGGATTCGCTTCGCTAGGCGTTCTCCATAAAGATTAAGCAGTGTAGATAGGATCATTTCAAGCCAGCGGCAGGGCATCGCAGGCAACCGCATAGTCCGCGTAGCGGTACGTGCTGAGAGTGAAGCTGCAGAGCAGCAGGAGCAGTTGATCCGCAGCCTCCACGAAGAGCAGGGCGTAGCAAGTGATGAACGCGCAGAGACAAGCCTCAGAGTGCTTCTCCTCCTTGAGCAAGGGTTGAGGAGATGAGCTAGAAGGGGGCAACCTTAGGGCTGTTTCAGGCTTTTTCTAGGGCTTCTTCTAGGAAAGGGCGCCCTAGTGCCACGCGCAATGCGCTCGGGAGGCGTCCTGGAGGAACTCGATGAGATCCTTGCGCAGGAGACCACGCTCAAGGCTCGCCTGGATGGCCTGCGCACGAATCCCATTTGAAGGTTTCCAAAATTGGGGGTACCTTATTGGGGTCCTTCTTAAAAGGTGGTCTACTATTTCCCATTCAGGGGCTTTATGCTATACCCCCCCACAGGCCTAGACACGCCCTAAAGGGAAGTGGGGCGTGTAATGTAGGACCCCACACCACCACTTCGTCAATTCCCGCAAAATCGACATGTGCTCGCGGAAGGCAAACGGGACACCACCATGCACATGAGGCTCTATTTCCGTTGTCCACGCTACGTCTATACTCCCTTAGAATATCCTCTTGGGTTTCTATATCAGCAAAAATAACAAAATAATTCCCACGCGAGATATACACGTGCCTGCCGCAGGCGCCAGGGTCTTAGGTGCCGAAATTGTCTGAGCGTGCTCCTCGCTATGGCAAAGGCCATTGCGGCCGCGCACAGGTAGTGCTGCGTCATCAGCAGCATGAGGAGGCTGTTGACGTGAAACACCGTGTCGACCCAATGCAGCAGCAGGCGGAAGCAGAGCCCGCTGCGGCGACACGGCTGCATGGCTGAGCTCCCCTGTGAAAACTGGGTAGGTGTCTTCTGCAGAATGTCCCAAACCATCTCGTCCTTGGCCTTGCACATGCTGCTAGCCTGCACCCTCCGGCAGATGCAACCTCGCAGAAGGGCTACACCCAGGCAGGTGAGGTATAGCAGCATCACACAAGCGCTGCAGGCATAGAACGCCCAGAAGATGGTGCTTGCTGTTACCGGAGGTGCCCAAAAGAACAGCCAGCTGTCTCTCAAACTGCTGGTTGCCCACTCCTTGTGCAACTTGTTCTGCCATTCAAGCAGCAATGGGCCGAACCAAGTGTCGTGCCACACTTCTCCAGCCCATGGGGCCACAGGATACAGCCCCAGAGCCACAAGACCAAAGAGGCCGGCAAGAGCCAAGGTGCGGATGAAAGCAGCTGTCTGGCTTGCAGGAGCCGCAGTGAAGAGAGTCGTAAGGACGAAGTCACGGTAGGGAGCCCTGCACCTGTAAATCAGAACCGCTGGGGTCATGTATGAAAAGGCCAGCAAAGGCAGCCACCACAACCAGCTTGACACCAACAAGGGGAGGCCAAACCAGAACACTGCCAGGTAGAATTCGATCCAACGCCAGAGCCTCTGAGAAGCGCACCCCAAGCCAGCCTGGACGAGGAGCTTGGCACCATCTAAGAAGAGCTCCTCATCGAGGGCTTTTGTGGTCCGAGGCTCCCGGGGCTTCTCGAGCATTGAGACACACACGGCTACAACCACCATGGAGAGCAGGACCGTGTAGGTGCGCCAGTCCCTCAGGACGGCCAGCATCAAGACCCCGAAGGTTCTGTGGGCCTTCAGGAGTCTCCTTGCCTCATCGTCTTCCAACACCGACAAGAGCCCGAAGCCATGCGAGTCCCGCCAACGGACATCGCCTCCACAGTCAAGCCAGGTCTGCAGAGAAGCCTCCGAAAGGTTCCCTGGGCTTCCGCACTGGAGAGCCGTGGCTAAATCCTTCCATTTCCTCTTGGAGGTGCGGTTGCATGCAACATCAACCACCAGGGCACATGGCAGGCCAGTGATTGTTGTACTGTCAAAGGCATCAACCCCCGCTGGCCACCTGCGGAAAGCACAAGCCCTAAAACCCCCCCCCCCCCCCAAGCCTCCCAGAAACACGCTAGGAGGCCCCCGTCTGGCCTCTGGCAGCAGAAGCCCCCAAAACTGCCTAAAACCCCAAATTAGGTGTCAGTAACACCCTTAGAACCAAAACCCTAAACCCTAAACCCTAATTCCTGCCAAGACTCTTGAACTCCGGCTGCCTTGACGTGCACAGGCTCTCATTTTTTGTGCCTGTGTGGTAGCGTCAATCGACTATTCTATATGAAAGTACGGCTCAGGATTGCCCTAGTCAACCGCAAGCATGAGCTCATCGAAGAAGGCTGCAAGTTCAATGGACTGCAGCCGGATCACAAAGAGGAATCTGAAAATGCCAATGAAGTTGTGCACAGGATCACGTGCTCATGGAAATTGGATCTTAACCTCTGGCATCCCCACCCCCCCCCACCAGCGGCGGCTGGCGACGAAGCTGAAGCCCGAGCAACAGGACCATGAGGACATCCACAGGGCGGGTCGGGAGGGCATTGGGCCCCTGCAGCGGCGGGTGCACAGGAGGCGGCGGAGAGGGCCCATCGGACAAGTAGGCGGGGACACTGCGCTTTGAAGCGGTGCCCAGCCCAGCTGCCCATGCAGCCAGTCCACCAATTGTTGCTCCACATCGGCTGCTCCCAAGGCAGCCTGCGTGTACAGCTCCCGCGCGAAATGCGCCGCAAAGCTGATCAGCGCTCGGCTCAAGAAGCGAAAAACCAAGGCGATCATCAGAGCCCATACTCGAGGGAACAGCAACACCGCCAGCAAGACCGCGATAGTCCTCCATCTCAACCTCGCAATCCAAGAAAGCCACGATGAGGCCGCAGGAGGCCTGGCTTCCGTCGTGGCCGTTGCACGACGCACTGGCAGCGGTTCCACCGCAGGCGGCTGGCGCCTAGCTTGACCATGAGGCGGGGCGCCCACCGCCCATTCCTGCAAGGCTTGCATGGCCCGGGCCAACGCTGCCGTCACACGCCGACCTGGGTTGCCGGACCTCCACCTGGCGGCCACTGCTCTGGATTCCGGGGTGCTCAACATAGCCGCTGCTGATTTTCCATTTCCCACATCCTGGTCTTGCAAGCCGTCCACGGCTGACTCCGCAGCCTTGAAGACTGCTGCCGCGACGGCTTCGGGCCGCTCCATAGATGAAGGGCCAGCATCTCGATGCCGGGGCGCGCCTCGTCCCACACCTGGTGTGCCTGGCTCATGTCGCGCACCTTGCGAAGCCCCGCGCGAGAGGAGGAAAGTCTTCCGGCGAGAGGAGCCTTCCCGATCCGCTTCCATGCCGCCAGTTCCTTCTGAAAGGGTTGGCGGTCTACTGAAGAAGCCTTTCACGAGCCAAGGGAGGCGGGCGCAACAGACGACCAACTTCCCCATACACCTGCTGCAGTTTGGCACGGGCAGAGCTTGGGGCCTGGGCCAACGCATGAATGCCCAAGGCATCTTGAAGGTAGTGCCGGAGAGTCTCCGGCCGCCGCCACCTGCCAGCGAACTGTAGTTGCCCCAAGTTCTTGTTCAGTTTAAAATGATGACACGCGCCGCCACCTCGGAAGGAGCCGAGCGTAAAGCCGCATCCGGCCAAGTCTAGGATCTCCATCCCCTCAGCCAGGATCTGCGCCCATCGGCGTCGCCCCATGGGCAAGAAACGTGCATTTCCGCTCTTTCCCAACGTCCACCACGTGCACCAATGAACCAGTTCAGGGACATCTATTACTACAAATTGCTTGGCCCACACACGCCGTGTCTTGGCTTGCTTTATCGACACCACCAGCCCGATCCCCTCCGCCAACTCCGGTGCCTCGGGAAAACAAAGATCACGAACACGGAGTGCATCGACCTCGCCCGGACGCATCATCCCTACGAAGGCCAACCAGAAACCTAGCATAGCACCCCACCACTCTTCTTTAGCTTTTCCCGCCAGAGCATGTCCACGCGCCAAACATACCACCAGCAGACACTGCATGACGTACTTGGTCATCGGGATGCGGGGCTTGATGGGTTGCAACAAACGCCAGGCTCTAATCGCTGACCAAGTGGCCTTGAGATAAGCCCCCGACAATCTGAACGACCGTTGGACACTAAGCACCCCCAGTGTGATCCAGTAAAGCTTCTCACCACTTTGATACGCGTGGTTCACTGCTTCTTCTAGGAAACGGTCCACGACCCTCGCTGGCGTACGGACAGTCAATGCCCCACCCAGCAGCGCCACCAGCCCGAGTATGTACACGCCCGCCTCCCGCAAGTGCCGACGATACTCGGGCGTAAGCGTGGCTTCATTGAGGCGAGCGGCCCGCCGTCCATTCACGGCAGGCATCGGCCAGAACTTGGCAGAATTTTTCCGGGTAGGCTTCGGCAGCCTTCGCCCTCTTTCCCCTCAATGGAGCCGCGTGCTGGTGATCACGAGGACAAAGCTTGACGACTTGACTGACCCACGGGGCATTGGTGTATAGCACGGTTGGCTTCTTTAAAGGAGGTTCTGGGGTATTGGACTCACAGAATGCACACCAGTCAACTTTGAGCTTGCACGCCACACCTCTTCCGCTGAACAGCTCGGTCACTCTTAAGCTCCAGGCCCGACTCCGCCTCGGATGTTCGATGACGAAGAAGCCCCCGACCTGCAGCATCAAGTCCACCAGGTGCAACGCTCTCTCCCACAAACAGTTCCCTAAGGCAATTGCAGGCTGACTTGGATCCCCTTCCGGATTTCCGGCCGGCCTGAGCGGGCCCCCACGTTCAAGAGACCTTAAGGGGGAGAAGTTTGAGTAAGGCGGTGCCAACCACAGCCATTGCACGCGACCACTGAGAATCAGTTCATCGATCCACTCCTCAAAGGCCGAGATGCCCCATAAGGTGTCGACTGGGTCGACCATCTCCAGGCCGGCCTCCCGATGCGCCATAGTGATGCGACAGCTACCTGCGAAAATCTCCAGGCCTACGAAGCGCTGTCCGGCCTGCAGCCCATACTTTCGCATCCAAGCCATCGGTGCCCTAGGTGGGGGGAGCTCTTTGAAACGCGAGTCGGCAGTCAGCAAGGTTGCTTTGTGTCTCCACCCAGAGTAGAGCAACCGCCAAGGCCATTTACTTTGTAGCTACTAGACCTCCCCTTTGACACCGCCCCAATCGTCACCCGCGAATCATTCAAAGCTAACTGCACTTGGCCACCCTGCGCAAAGTCGGAGGCCATTCGAACCACCTCCCGTCTCAATGCTCGCAGCTCCTGCAAGTTAATGTGCGATGAGCTTCGGAAGGTGTACTTCGCGGTCACCCTCCAGTTTAAACACTCTGCTAGGGCACTCACAAACTGCGAAGCATGCGACGGCTCGGGGTCCAGAAAGTAGGAGGCCTCACTCCTATCAAGGCGGACCGCTTCTCCCCTGATCTCCGAGCGCACCCACAGCTCCTGAGCCAACTCGCCGGAGACGTCGGCTCTCACAGCACCACCTGATGTCGGGGTGGCATCCGTAGCCAACAATGAGGTGCTCAGACGCTTGCGCATATGCCACGTGGCCCAAGGCAGGTGAAGACTCACACTCCTGAGCTCATCACGGATGTAGGCCGGCAGCCGGCACCATCGCTCCTGAGGCAAGCTGGAAACGAACTTGTACACATGGTGCTGTAGACTGAACAACTCCCTCCTGAACTGGAAAATGAAGCAAATGAACCCATTGATCTTCTCCAGGATGTTCTTTGTCGCCCAGCCTAGCCGAACAACCATGCACAAAAGTTTCCAAACCTCACGTCGAACTTGCAATGGGGCCCCTACGCGACCGACCACTCCATCGACTTCAGCTCCCCAAGCACGGAACTGACAGAGCATGCGGAAGCTCTTGTGCATTGCCCTCTTCAGCCCTGCCTTCTCGTAGGCGACCTCCGCCGCCAGGATCTGCTGAACATCTTCGTCGTCGTCCTGCGGGGGAGGCGGCACAAAGCTGCCGTCTAGAGGTACTCTGCCAGAGATCTTCTTCCGCAGGGTCACTAGCAGATCATCTAGGCACACACCTTCCCACAGCGCTTGATTTGGAACGGGTTTGCCATATTCGAGGGTGGCCTTCGCCGGCAGGACGCCCTCGGACTTCAAGATCGCTTCATGGGTCGCCTGGGCAATGGCGCAGCCGTTGGTATCACCCATCCCTAGAACCCTGAAACAGAGACGATGCGGTTCTTTGGGGTCGCCGCCATACTTGGCCACAAGGTCCTTGTGCACACGCCTGCCAACCGAATTGAACTCAAGCCAGTTGTCTGGTAGCTTTAGAGCATAGTAATAATTTCGTAAATCATCTCCTGACCCTCGCAGAAACTCGTCGGGCTGGAGAAGCATCCGTGTGTAACATGCTCCACTAGGAAGAGAAGCCCAATCCAGCCTAGCCATCGTCGCATTCTCAGGTCGCCGATCAAAAATGAGACGATCCTCGGAATCATTTTTGGCAACAGCAAATAGTCCGCCGACAAGAAGCTCGCCATCAGCCCTTCTAGGTAGCAACTTTTCTGGGATGATCACTGCCATGTCCGTCTCCAAAAGCATGGCCGCCACGTCCCTCTCTTCGTTCTCCGCCACCTGATGGCAGGCAACCGGCACCTCCCCCCACTGATCCTGCGGAAGCCGCAGAGCCGGCAAATCAGACATTACTCTGGCCCGATCCTCCGGAAGCCAATCCAGAGGGTCCACATTCCCCGCCTTCTCCGGCACTGCCACGCGGTTTGCCACGACAGGAAGCGCCGTAGATGCCGAAGTCCCAGCCTGAGCGGGGACGCCGTAAGCTGCACCTGCTGAAGTTACGACCCGTTTCAAGTGTTCCTCGACGACAGCACGTTTGCCATCACACGTCAAGTCACCCACAATCAAATCGTAACTAGCAAATTCTTCCACCTCGCCAAGTAGCCTATCGCCAAAAAACCGAGCATCTTGTGTGCTACGATAGCCCACATGCGGCTCGCAGCCCCCTTCATCCAGCCGCGGGCAACCAAGCACCACAAAGTTGGACCAGGCCACAAACGCATTCACGAAAGCCTTTGCCCACCACTGTCGTGCTTCGGCCTCCCCCGTCAAAATCTCCACATCGAGGATCTCTGGATAAGGTAAGGCGCACGGAAACAAGGAAACATCACTGCCGGACCTGGACGCCTTCAAACCACTGCACATACTCAAGAAACTTCGAATTCGCACCATAAAGAGCCGGGTGTCTAGGCTCTGTTAGGCTCTGTTAATGTAGAGACCCTAATGCGGGTCATCTTGGGCGCCCGCAGGCAGCTCAAGCACAGTTCCCTCACTTGTGCCAACGAGGGCCGGGAGTGACGGGAGCAGCAGCTTACAAACAAGTACTGAGCTCTGGGCGGACTTTTAAACACTGGCCACAAGTGCAGCCATTGCACGGCCAACCCACTTAATGCGGGCCGGCGCATCATCCGAAGCTGCCTCCAGGATGGTAGGCCACGATGTCGGAGGAGGCCCCACCATCTCAATGACCAGAGCGCAGGTCAGAACATGCTCCAGCGAGCAATGGCTCCCACAAAGTGGACAAGCCGCAGTGCCCATTAGATCAGCTCTGCCAAGTGCGGCAAAGGGCGGCAGATTGCTGGCGCGGGCAAGAAGCCAGGCCCTTGCATGTCGCCACATGGCCTTTCCCCAGCACTGATTGGACAAGAAATCCAGAGCATTCTTATTGTCCCAATGCGGCAAGGTCCAAGGCCAAGCATCGTGCGCGGATATCTGAGATTGAAACCAGTTGCGCTCATATCTGTAAGCTGCAGGCAGCAAGACCTCACGCTTCCACCTCAGGACAGCCCGACGCGCAGCTTGGGGGTCAGAGCCTGGGACAGGCAGGAAGCAATCAGCGCCAAGGGTCTGGTCAAGGCCAATTGATGCCAGAACAAGCAGTGCGTCAGTGAGCCAGTGCCGACCAGTGACACTCAAAGCTCCTTGTGTGGCTGCCGTCACCGGGCTGTCCACCGGCAACGAGAGAAGACGGGCTCTGGCAGTCCCTATGCGAATTGCCAGTTTGGTGCCTAACCTAAGCCTAACCCCCAAAGTCAGCAAAAGTCTGTGCTGGGCCCCGGCTCCCAAGGAACTGCGCTCAGCTCCAAGTACGGCCTTCAAGGAGTTGTAGTGAGCCACATTCATCCTTCGAGCAACTTCAGGCCATCCACAAGAAGCACTGGCCAAGGCTTCTGCTCCGTGCAATGCTTTAGCCTCAACCCTATGTTGCAACTCGTCAAGCTGCAGAGGAATGCTAAGAGAGAGGTCACGCATTGCCTTGATGAGAGACTGGGTTTCAGCACCTAGGACACCGATGGTTTTCTCAAGCAAGGGAAGGAAAGACAAATCAGCATCGACAACAACCCCTAACACCCCTAAACGATCCACAGGGCAAGGCAGAGAACCTCCAACAGGAGCAAGCGAGGAACTTTCTGGCACCGTGGTTCCAATCGTCAAGAATGTCGAGGCCTTTCTTCCAGAAGCAAACTTATGCCGCCACAAGCGCGCGAAGTCTTCAAGGCTTTGACAAGCCCTTTTTAGTCCCCAACACGTGGACTGAAGGCAAAAAACGTCGTCGACGAACTGAACCAGTGCGAGCGTCAATGGTGAGACAGTGTCAATTGTCAGCAAAGCTTCAACTCGGTTGGCTCTTGGAGACATGGCTGTTGCAAATTCATTTTCTAGACAGGCACCTACGGATGCCATTGCCATGCGAGCGATTCTGTCAACAAGCGGAGGACGGCAAGCAACGTGCGTGCTCTCAAACTCTGTTGCGGCCAGGAAAGGTCTAACCATTAAAGGGTTAGCTCCGATTGCTGCGCCAGCACATCTACTGAGAACCTCCTCAGCGAGACCTCGCGTAAGAGTGTTGAAGAGATGCACAGCGCGCCTGCCTCCCTGACCCAGCCCAGCATCGAGGAGCAATAAGGTACTACCCAAAAAGGGGCCTAAACGGATCCTACATTGGTCATGCGCAAAGGACGCGTCGAGGCAAAGCCAAAAGGAGCCTTTGACTCCAGCCCACTTTGCCTGTAGTAACACAGCATCCTTCCAAGCTAAATCGTAACCTTGCAGAAGGTCAGACTTAAGAAGAAACGAGGGAAGCCGCCACGCAGAACGGGTCTGCAGGGCCAAAATCAGCCCTAAGGCAATAAGTGAACTATCAACGCGACCCCCACCTTGCTCAGCGCCCGCATATGTTTCAAGTGCCTGCCTTTGCCGTGAGAGCCAAACGAGGTCAAACAACGTCTCGAGGTCATCCGTGTAGCTGATCGGTCGAAGATTGCTGAGATCACTCACTACAGCAGGTCCTCGCTTACGGACGGGCGAAATCTCTCTAA